ATACTTCCTTGATGTTAAATGTGTAGATTTAGTGAAGTACCTTTCTGATGGTAATGCAAAAGGCATGGGAACCCTGAGTCGATGGAGAAATCATCTTTGCATATGCTAAGATTGACAGACTCAGTGACATTGAAGAGTTCATACCTATGCCAAATGTGTCCAACCGTCAAATGTTGGTGACCATCTGTATGATGAAGAGGTATATGAAACTGCAAAGATCATCTATGCTACCCTGGTTAAGCTGAAGCAGTTCCAAGGCTAACAATGTTAAAACATGAAAAGAGGTATGCTTTGCTTATGTTGACGCCGAGGAGTTCCATCTTACACAACTATGTGGTCTCAATATTATTGTTTAGATATCTTGTTCAACCTCTTTTGCTTTATAACAAAGCTTTTATGATCTATTTTCCACTGAGATTATTTAAAAAGAAAAGATGCAAAAATATAAAGTCTCAGACCCATCAATTACTGGCCCAGCAATTGCCGGCCCAGCAACCGGCGGCCCCCTCAAAAACCCGAGCACCGCCTCTGTCACAAATCGAGGCGGGTTTTGTTCATCCGGCGCAGCAACGAGCTCCCTCCCCCGAGATCCGGCCGTGGCGGCGCCCCTATGGCCACTCGAGTCAGCTCTGAGATCATCAGCGCCGCTCTTGAAGACGAAGGTATCTATCTACATTTCGCAAACTTCGGGATTCAGGATTTGGGGTTTTCAGGAGGGGGAGGGGGCCTCGGGCAGCGGCCGGATCGGCGGTGGTGTTGTTGTTGAGGGGCAGCCGAATCCGGTTGGTAAGATCTCGCGTCGGGTAACTGACTTTGATTTAGCACATTTGTGCCCAAACTTCCAAGGTTCTTTGCGAAAGTAACACTTCTTAGCCTCACGAGGGGTATCTGATGGGGAGGAGACTCGATGAGACAAGAGAGGTCGCTAGTTTTCTGATCTGTGCATAAGCAGTGATAGGAATAGTTAGACGAGGGAGGTCGCCAGTTTTCCGATCTGTGCATAGAATTTCCCCTAGGCAGTGGTAGGGATAGCTGTGGTTTCATAGAAGGCTCCACCTGCTCAAGTGTCTAGCATACCATTAGGCATCTAGAAGTGATTTTGGTTGGTGACAAATAACAAATTGTTTTATGTATTGTTAAAGGCCCCTAACAGAGCTGGTGATGAAGAAGGGTTTTTGTAGATAGGGGCTATCTTTTTTCAAAAGCACCAAATTCTCCTTGCAACAAAAAAAATGTTCCCTACTATACATCTTGGCCATGCACTTCTATCCATGAAGTACATTGTATTTGTATGAAAATCACATATGTACTTAAATGTGTTCATACTACAAGCATATAAAATCTGCAATAATGATAATATCAACAGTTTAAGAATTTAGTCATCTACAAATAATTTATTGTTTTGCTGATTTTAGAAGATCATGAGAAACGGAGGTTTGAATACACTGAAGGAGGAGTTCAGCTGCAGAGAAAGAAGACCCGTTGGGGCGTGAGGCAATATTTGGGATTTCTTTAATGATCCTCGTCCTTTACCCTACAAACTGCAGGTGGCTAACTATGTGAACAAACGTTGGTCCAAACTCAGTTAGGAGCAAGGATACTCGGCTTCTCGCTGCATCTCTCATACATTTTAAATGTTAAATAAACCTTGTTTGATATTTTTGTTGTCATGTCTTTAGGAATAGAACAATGATGAAGCAATCGTTTATCAACCTGACAGTGCCTGCAGTCTAAATCCCTTTGCCCTATGGGCTCAATTTATAGGCGGGTTGGGAGGAGGCAATCTTCCTCCCATCCCTCTATTAGTTTACAAATTACAAACAAGTCCTCTACCCTTGTTAATTGGGTCTTTTTGAAAGAGGGGGAGGGCTATGACTAGGCCTAGTATAACTCCAAAAGTAGCCCTCGGGTAATTGATTTTAATTGGTACAATAAGACTTAGTAGCTACAACCTAGGAAAAAGGCATAGAAATACAAGACTCGACCATGAGGATCACTCTCACAACTACTTTTGCATGTATGCCTCGCTAAAGATTCCATCCCCAAAACCTAGTATGAAAATAGGGATGGACAAAAGAGTAGCATATATATTGCGCAAAGTTAACTATACAAAAACTACGGCTAAAATATATGAATATCTTCGATGTGAGCATCATAGCTTTGACAACAAAGATCAGAGGCTTTGCTTTGATGACAATGGCTTCCTACTAGCAAAGGTTGAAGGCCTCTCTATTGCCTCTTCTGGTCACCTTGACCTTATCCACGACTTTACTCTAGAGGCTTGATCATCTTGGGCCATTGCCCATGATTCTTTTGAGCTTTGCCTTCAAGTCACTTGGGGCTTCATTTCAACTTTTCTTGGCCTCTTTTACCATGTCAACAATTTATCTCTTGAGACTTTTTCCCTTAATTGTGTCTAAAGCTTCGATTTTTAGTCTTCATCATCTAAGGATCTTTACACCTTCGAGGGAAGCTTTTCATAGTTGAAGGAGTCCTAGTAGTGGAAGTAGTCAAGATGATGAGTCACAGTTGATATAGTCATCAAACCCCCAAGAGCTGGCATATGTGGCAAGGTTAAGGCGAAGTGGATATCAAAGATGTAGTCATAGACAATGGTCGTAGATGAAGCAGTTGACATGGTGGACATAGGCAAAGTAGTTGTCATAGTCAATGGATCTTGCCACCTTCACTCGCAAGCTATGGGCAAGACATGTCCTTCGGATAGGATTGGTTCTCCAATTTGCCATATGCTAGATGTAGTATTAGATATTTTGTATTTCCCCATGTATAAGGGGTTTAGTGCATATTTGCTAATACATGTACCTGTATATATTTGGGCTACAACCCTAATAATGAATACAAGTACTACTGTTTGTAACATTGTATCAAAGCCAGACTAGGATTAGATTTCATTGTCGTTGTTCTTCATTGGCTGCTCACAACCACAATTCTTGTCACTGTTCTTATTGTCACTAGGATTAGACTTCACTACACACAACCACCATTCTTGTCGCTGTTCTTCATTGGCTGCTCGTCCGTCCTCATGTGGTTGTCATCGTCTGCACTAGCCTACAACTACGGCTCTCCACGCGGTTCATCGTCTGATTCAAGTTGTGGTTGCCTGCTTCCTCTATTCACTGGATTTCATGTCGACTCTGCTCATTCCTGCAGACCTCTTCTTCTGTGGCCATTTGTCAATCAGTGCGTGTGGCTTGTCTATTGTTTTTCATCTGTTGGCTTGCCTCTTTGTGTAGTATTGCTCTACTCTGAGATCATGTGGTTTGAGCACCTGGTTTGTTCCGTTAAAAAAAGATCCACATTAAGGGATGAGTTTACTCCCACAAAAAAAGGAAAAAAGAAAAAATCACAAAAATGCTATTGTTGTTGCCACTATTCTTTGCACTCTTGTTGTCGCTTACTGCTCCTTGTAGATGGCATTTCAGGATTCTTCATCTAGTGGTGTACAACTTCCATGTTGTCTAATTAATTTTAATGGAACTAACTATCACGAGTGGGTTTCTCGTATGCACCTATATATGCGTGATTTACCCTACCCAATAGCTCCTACTTGTCCTGTTGTGCCAGTGATTCTTGACAAAGCTGTTGATGAAGCAAAGAAGAAGTTGATTGCTGATCATGATGATGCTATGTCATACTAAGAGTCCTAGTTTGATTCTCATAGGATATGGTTAGATGAGGATGCTCGTGTTGGTTCCATTCTTGTTGCTAGCATGGAGGAACATCTTGCTGTAGATATTGTTGATTTAAATTATGCATATTAGATGTGGGCTTTTGCTCATACTCGTTATGAGCCCACTGGTCAGTCTACGTATATTGCTGCTATACGTTAGGAGCAGTTGCTACATCAAGGTGATGCTGTAGCGGACAATTTTTTTTTTTTTTTTTTTGCTTAGATATCAGTGGTTTGACGTTAGCTTGACACTTTGATCCACAGTTGACACCTAGCACTTGTGAGTCTTGCAATGGTCTGAAGACTGCTCTAGAGATTCAACAGACTTATGAGTTCTTGACTAATCTTCATGATGAGTTTGAGCCGCTCCATGTGTGTCGCCAATGGATTGTAACACCCTAAAAATTGCTCATTTTGAAATAGAGAGAAATTGATTTAATTTTGAATTTGTGTGCTCATGAAAACATAGGAAAAATAATAATTTTCATTAAATTAAAATCCATCATAAGATTAGCAACATTTTTGGTGCATTCATGCCTCTGCATTGGATTTAATGTACTGTGTGAGTTTGTCCAAAATTCAAAATGAATTCAAATGCTTTTAAAGTAGATTTGAAAATATATAAATTCCAGAAAATAAAAATGAAAACTCTTCCCCCCTCTCTCGTTTTCAGCTTGGCAGCCAAGCCAACCCGGCTCCCTCTCTTCCAGCAGGCCCAGCTGGCCCAGTGGCCGAGCCAAAGCCCGCGTGGAGCGCATCCCTTCTCTCCCTTTCTGTGTATGACTAACCGGCCCCACTCCCTCAGTGGCTGACCAACGGGTCCCTCTCGCCAGCGTCTTCTTCCTCGTCTTGCTCGTGCTCTGCCCGGACTCGGATGGAGACGCTTCCCAATCCCGGTTTCTTCGGGATCTTCCTCTGCGTGGATTGCAAGCCAAGCCACCCCTATATGAAGGAGAGGAACCCGACGCACATCCGTTTCCCATCTCCGAGCCGCTGTTAGCCCTAGTTTTCCCCTGCGCTCGCCTTTTGGATCTCACCGAGCTTGGAGTGCAGCCGCCGCAGCCGCGCTCGTTGTTCTCGCAACTGTCCACGACCTGTTGCCGAGCTCCACGTAGAGGTGAAGAAGCTGCCGGAGCCGTTTCCTTGTTCCTTCTCGTTCTCTGTCTTTAGCCCATCGCAGCCGAACATTGCAGGAAAGTTCGCCGTTCGCTTCACCGAGCCCGATGCCCTCGTCGTTCGTTCCCCGTCGTCAAGGAGAACCGTTGCCGCCCGTTGAGGCCCCTTCGTCGTCGAGTCTCTCCTTGTCCTCATGGAGGGCCTAGGTGAGTTCTCCGTGCTTCCTCGTCTCTCCCCATGCTTTCGACGATGTCCTCCGAGCTCCCGTCAATGGCGCCGCCACCGGCACCGGGTCAAGTCTGCTAAACGAGCGCGTCAGTCCCTGCATTCCGCCTCCTGGCGCGCAACAAACGCGCGACACCGTGCGAGCGAGCGGAGCTAGCACTAGCAGAGCAGCCCGGCCGTGCGTGCCCACCTCTTGTTAGCTTGATGACGCCATCATCACGTCACGCACATATTATTAGCCGTTTTCCTTTAGAAAAACAAATCTTGAAATACAATAGAAATACACATATACATACAATCATGGTGAGCCGTCCAATCTGAGATCTATGGTCCAGATTAAAACAAACCCCTTCGCTGGTCATTTTGTTAAAGAGACCCCCGGTTTTCATAAAATCAAACGTGTGGTCCCTGGCCCAGATTGAAATCTGTTTTTATTTATTTTGATTCATAAATAGTTCGTTGTAATTACAGAACTGCCACCCACCTTGTTTTATTCATAAAATCTCCGTTTTGACCCGTTCAAGTTGCGTTAGAATCATAACGACGTAATCTACGCGTTAGTAACAATTTTTACCATGTCACTAGCTCTGGAATTTCATGGTTTAAATCCTAACTTAGATAATAATTATGCAACTGGATTTATAAATTAAATATCATTAATTTTACTTTAGCTTTATAATTCCAATATAAATTTGAGTTAATTAAATTTAGATATACATCGACGCCTCCAAGGAGGTAAACGGCGCCGAAGAGCGTTGCCGGCGATCGCACAGCTAGGTTGTGCACGGCTTTCGCCTAAGCTTCCCAAACCCATGAACTATAGCCCACCATCTTAGAGACCAAGAGGACGAGCCCCGGGCACGATGACCCACAATCTTCACAGCTACAGGGCCGCAATCCTTCATTCGCGCAGATGATGCTGCACACTTCCTTGATGATGTCATCCGTGCTGCAGAGGGAGCTAATGTGTACAATGATTTAGTGAAGTACCTTCTGATGGTAAGGCAAAAGGCACGGGAACCCAAAGTTGATGGAGAACTCATCTTTGCATATGCTAAGATTGACAGGCTCAGTGACATTTGAGGAATTCATTCTTATGCCAAATGTTGCCAATTAACCTTCAAAATGTTGGTGATCGTCTGTATGATGAACTATATGAAGCTAGCTCCTAAGATCGTCTATGCTTTCATCTCAAACTGAGCTAAGCTAGCTGTTACCCACTTACCCTGGTTAAGCTGAAGCAGTTCCGAGGTGCTGTGGATGCTGCTCGCAAGGCTAACAGTGCTAAAACATAGAAGGAGGTCTGCTTTCTTGCGTGGACGCTGAGGAGTTCCGTCTTGCACAAATATATGGTCTCAATATTATTGTTCAGGTATACAAGTAGGAGCGCATACTGATATTTTTTTTCTAGTCTCTGCTTTATAGCAAAGTTTCCATGATATATTTCTTTCTGACATACCTGCTTTTGTATTTTTGTTTAGGTTGATGACTTGGAAGAAGTCAGTGAATACTACCAGAATAGAGGATGCTTCAGTGAACTTATTGCTCTGATGGAGAGTGGTCTTGGACTTGAACGTGCACACATGGGCATCTTCACAGAATTGGGAGTTCTATATGCTAGATACCGCTCTGAGAAGCTTATGGAGCACATCAAACTTTGCTCCACCGGCCTCAATATTCCTAAGCTTATCCGAGCTTGTGATGAACAGCAGCACTGGAAAGAACTTATGAATTTGACAATGCTGCCACCACAATTATGAACCACTCTCCAGATGCGTGGGATCATATGCAGTTCAAAGATGTCTGCGTTAAAGTTGCAAATGTTGAGCTATATTACAAGGCAGTTCACTTCTATTTGCAAGAGCATCCTAATCTCATCAATGATATGCTAAATGTGCTTGCACTTCGTTTAGATCATACCAGAGTAGTAGACATAATGCGTAAGGTTAGCGTCTGAATGAAAATTAATTTCCTTTGTGCAGTTTGAAGCACTGTTTCAAATCTGACTGTCTTGTTGCTCTTTGTACAGGCCGGTCAATTGCATCTTGTGAAACCATATATGGTTGCAGTTCAGAGTAACAACGTCTCTGCTGTGAATGAAGCCTTGGATGAGCTCTATGTCTAAGAGGAAGACTATGAGAAACTCCGTACGTGACAACTTTGACAAGATCATAGGTCTTGGCCAGAAGGTAAAAAAGAGGCAGATAATCGTGCAATGCTTGTTGTTACTGCTTTTAATTTAATCACTTGTGTTCATTTCTTGAGCAGCTTGAGAAGCATGAATTGCTGGAGATGTGGAGGATGGCCGCCTACATTTACAAGAAGGCTGGCAGGTGGAAGCAATCCATTGCTCTATCCAAGAAAGACAACATGTACAAGGATTGCATGGAGACATGCTCACAATCTGGTGACCGTGAACTGTCAGAGGACTTGCTTGTCTATTTCATCGAGCAGGTTTGGTTCAAACCCATTCTATTGACTGATGATATGAGACTAGTGATAAGATAATTCAATACTATGCACCATAAGGCCTAGTCTGTCTACTTGGCATTGCATTCTGATTAGTAAACACATCCAATCATGTAATGCAGGGTAAGAAAGAATGCTTTGCTTCCTGCCTCTTAATTTGCTACGACTTGATCTGGCCGGATGTCGCTCTTGAGCTTGCTTGGATGAACAACATGTTGGCCTTTGCCTTCCCATACCTGTTGCAGGTAACTTATTTCGGTCCATTTCCTTGCTGATGTTTATTTACATACAGTTTACTATAGTAACATCCATGCTGTGTGTGCAGTTTATCCGTGAATACACTAGCAAGGTGGATGATTTAGTGAAGGACAAAATTGAGTCGCAGAATGAAGAAAGAGCCAAAGAGAAGGAGGAGAAAGATCTTGTGGCTCAGCAGGTAACCTAAAACTGCTCACATGTTTTATTTGTGTAATCATCAATCATCTCATGCTGAGGCATTGACATGACAAGTTGCATTCCGTTGTGCTGTGCAGAACATGTATGCGCAACTGCTTCCCCTTGCGTTGCCCGCTCCGCCAATGCCTGGCATGGGTGGTCCTCCACCTCCGATGGGTGGGATGGGCATGCCTCCAATGGGTGGAATGGGTATGCCGCCGATGGGCCCTGGTCCGATGCCAGCATTTGGGATGCCACCGATGGGAAGCTACTGAGTTGTTTTTGCAGACAGCTTAGATGATCTGAATTGTTCCAGGTGTAAGCAAAAGTGGAACTTCTTTGGAGTTGTAGATGGTTACAGTTTGGCATTAATATTCTTTATGGTACTAGGAATTTTTTTGGCGAGTTAAATCTTAGCCAGAGTTTGAGGATTGCAACCTGTTATACCGTACGATGGGATAGGATGAGGATTAGGTTGGTTGAGCATGAGCTGTTGAAAGCTGGCACCATTTGTATAGTGTGATAAAATCTTGGTAGACACATTTTGCTTGTATGATACTTGTCGGCACAATGAAGGACAAAAATGTATGTTACTTTGTTACGGCCTGTTTATTGCAATTGTTAGTAGTATATGTGTTTTTCTTGAAGAGGACAGTACATTTGATTGATATTTTGTCCATCACTCTGTTCGCTTGAGCTACTTTTTAGCCATGGAACAGTATTTTTCTCTCACAACATTTTAGCATAAGCATCAGCATAAGCCAAATTTAATAACTGTATTGCAATACTTCATACCATAGGGCAAATGAAGCTAAAATGGAAAAAGTATATATGTAATGTACTCCATCCCTTTTTAACTGTTGTTTTCGTATCCCGAGAAATAATTTTGACTCTATATATAAAAATATTAATATTTATGGTACATAATTAATATCATCAGATAGGTCATTGGATCTATTTTTATAATAAATTTATTGGAACTGCTAGTGTCCGGACCTCTGATCCGGGTGCTAGTGTCCGGACGCTTGCGCTAGCTGCGCCTGCTTACGTGGGGCCCACGACGCTTCGTTCCCCGTGCATGCACGTGCCCATGCGGGGCCGTGTCTCGGTTCGTGCCCTCTCTTGTTTTAAGCGCTTGTCGCTCGCGCCCCTCCGCTCCCACACGCATGCGCATGGGCCCAACAGCTACAAAGCAGGTGGGTCCTACTACAAAATTCCAACACCAGATCTACTTTTGCAACATCCAGATGAAACCTTTGCAACATACGTCTAAAACAGATGAAACATTTGGGACATACAGTTGAAACACCATTACAACAAGTGCAACATCATGATCTACTTTTGAAACATCCAGATGCAACACTTGAGACATGCATCTGAAACACTTGCACCATACGTGTATAAAAACAGATGAAACATTGAGGATAGACGCTTTCAACATACGTGTACAACCATTGCAACATATGGAACACCCCGATTTATTTTTGCAACATCCACATGAAACAATTGAAACATACATCTGAAACAATTGAATGAAATACTTGAAACATAGGCTTACAACATGTCTGAAAAACGTTAATAAACATAGTATCGTCGCGCGTCCATGACCTACCTGGTGGGGAACGGCGGTGGCGCAGGCCTCCCCTTCCTGCCAACGGCGTGAGGTGGATGGGGGCGCAGGCGTAGGCCTCCCTTGCTTCCCCTTCCGCGACGGGCGAGGTGGATCCGCACGACGCTGGATGGCGGCGCTCCCGATCTCGTGCTGGCGCGAGCTAACGCCGCTCCGGTGGAGAAGGCCATGGCGGGTCTGGCGCGAGCTGTCGTTGCTCCGGTGGAGAAGGCTGTCGGCGAGCTGGAGAAGGCCGCGACGGACCGAAGGCACGGTGGAGAGGGAGGAAGGCGGGCAGCGGGGAGGTGCGATGGAGAGGGATCAAGGCGAGCGGCTGCGCTCGGGCACGGTGGAGATGCTGGCCGTCGAGCCTCCGGCCGCCGTGGAGAACACCGGGTCCGCCCTCGAGCTGTGGTGATTTTTTCTGGAGAATAGAAACAGGCTACGGTTAGGGACTTGTGGATAAGAGACTACGACTATTGGGGCATCGGTCTTGTTGCAGCCCGCGAGCGGGAGCGTCCGGAGGATCGGACGATCTCACCGTAGCATTTGCGTAAATTTATTTGAAGATATAAATATTGCTTATGTTTTATATAAATCTGGTTAAATTTATCGGCATGCAAACCATGACGACGATAGATATTTTGGGACAAGACTACAATCCGAGTTTAATAAAAAACAAGACTCCGATCCAACTCTTGCATAGGGAAACAATCCTGGTGCGACCAGGAAGACCATGCTTTGCAAGTTGAAAAAAAGAACCATGCCAGGCCAAAATAAAAAAAGACCATGCCAAGCTCGGCTCGGGTCGCGTCGCATCGTGCTTTGCAAGTTGTTGAAAAGAAAAAAGAACCATGCCAATAAAAAAAGACCATGCCAAGCTCGGCTCGGGTCGCGTCGCATCGCGCGTGTGGCAACACAGTACCACGCGAGAGCGAATCGAAACAATATATTTCCCTATATAACAACAAACACGATCGCGAGCGCCTGAAACCACACTCGTCATCTTCTCGCGCAAGCCATTTCTCGCGCAAGCCCGCAAGGCCACAATGACGCGCTTCCGCCTTCTCCCCAGCCGCCGCCTCCTCCTCCCGGTGGTGCGGAGCGGCGCCACCCACCCCTCCGCCGCCGCCGCCGCCGCCGCCGCCTCCTCCTCGTCCTCCTCCCGCTCTTACCCCAAGATCTGGTCCGCCCCCACGTCTTACCACGTGTACACCACCGAGGCCGCCTCCTCCCTCTACTCCTACGCTTGGGTCTTCGTCCCCACCGCCGCCGCCTCCTCGTCGCGGCTACGTCCTCCCTCCTACAGCACTTCGACTGCAGCCGCGGCCTTTGGAGCCCAATCGGAGGCGGTGGCGTCGTCGCAGTCCTGCCCGACGCCTTCCCCCTCGGCAAGCGGGTGGTGGGGTTTCCTGCCGTTGGCCGCTGTGGCGGCGCTCGGCGGCTTCATCGGTGGGACCTTCGCCACCTATGGTTCGACCCTCGTTTGCCCTTGATTTATCGCCTTTCTGTTTATTCGATCGTCGCCGATCCCCATTTGATTTATCGGCGTGTTTGTTTATTCGAGCAGGACCAGGGGGTTGGAGGAGAGAGATGTCTTTGATGGCTATTCCAGAGGATGACGATGAATATAAGAATATGGCTTACAAAGGTATATGCATATAAAACCAGATTTGCTTTTGGGCCCCGAGGCCGTTGTTAAAACATGTTGTTAGATGCATTGATTTTTAACCTCATACATGTTGTTAGATGCTGTATGTCTTCTCGTTAAAATCATGCTGGAGTATGATAAATTGTTTGATCATTTAGTATTGCTTGAACTTTGTCTTGTTAACTACTGATGTTGTCTGAAATAAGATTTGAAGCAACAATGGACAATCAGTTCCATAGTATTTTTATAATAGTCAGGGTCCTAGTTTTTTTTTATGTAGAATCCTGCTATCAGACAAATAGACTCAATAAAAACTGTTGTGACAATCATTTTGAGCTGGTCTTTTATTGTTTCAGACCACTTATCAAATTTTGATGGATCATCTACTATTGTTTGAAGCTTTGTCCTGTTAACTGCTGATGTTGTCTGAAATAAGATTTTAATCAAGAATGGGCAATCAGTTCCATAGTAATTTTGTGTTTGTCAGGGAACTACAGAGCTGTAGAATCCTGCTATCGGACAAATAAACACTGGTGTGGCAATCATTTTGAGCTGGTCTTTTATTGTTTCTGACCACTCTTTCAGATTTTGATATATCATGTACTATTGCTTGAAGCTTTGTCTTGTTAACTGCTGATGTTGTCTGAAATAAGATTTTAAGCAGAATGGACAATCGGTTCCATAGTATTTTTGTGATAGTCAGGGTCCTAGGTATTCTTTTAAAAAAATTGCAGAATGCTGCTATCAGCCAAATAAACACTGGTGTGGAAATCATTCTGAGCTGGTCTTTTATTGTTTCAGACCCCGCTGCAAGTTATTAATCTGATGTTCTGCAAGTTACTAAATATTTCTTTGTGCGTGCTCTTTTATTCATTTTCTAGTCACAGAAGTTTCGGGGAGGACTGCAATGCTGCCAATTTCAGAGGATCTAGAGGACTACTCTTACACTAGAAGCACTTCTCGTGGGTATTTTGACTACATACCCTGTTTACATTCTCTACATGCACGATCTTGCGGGTGTTTCTAATTACTCTTATTATTTCTACTCCAGGGCCTGCAACTAGTACTGCATCCGGTTCTTCGTCTGGAAGGAACCATTGGCAACTCTACTTGTGAGGTAATATGACTACAGTCCCTGTTCTACTATTTGTTTCGTTGTATGTGCCACATTGGAATCCAAAAAACATGCACTTGTTTTCCGTACTAATATGTGTATTTTGTTGCTTAGTACATTGAGTTAGATGGCGTATCATACAGACTGCCGAAACCGGAGGTAATACAATAGGAACCATAAAAAGTCATATTTGAATGAATATAATATAATGTTTCAGCCTAAGTTGTCTCAACTTTAATTCATTATTATATCGTTCTATTATAGGTCTACAAGGAGCTCTGTCGCAAGCTGAGAGTAGCCGTTGGAAAGTTCTCTTATGGATCTGACCATGTTAGTTGCTAGTGCTTGTACAGTCCGTATGGAACTGCTAGTCTAATCAAATTTTTGCTTAGTTTGGTTTCTGAATTCTCAGTTTAGTGAGAATTTGTTGATATTTTCAAAAATGTGCTGCTGTCTGTTAAGTATATGAAAACTGGACTGTGCTGCTAATTTATGAAAACCATGGATCAATATCCACCTGATTACTGAAACTATCTAAACAGGTGTTTTGAACTACCTATACTCCTGTAGCTTGCTGTCTGAGATCAGAGTGATTTTCCTCCTTTTTCCCAAATAGTCGACGGTCTTACACCATTGGGATACCTCAGATAAACTGGAGTACATATATGAGAGACCGGTGCTAAAACCTTTTCTCGAGATATCTTCCAAATTCTTAGGGTCCTTGCTCCGGATCTTGTTCCCCGGTGCGAAAGCAATTGGTTCCGTAGTTTGAGAATTATGCTAATTCCAAGTATTCCATTATTATTATTAAAAAAAGAATATAAAAAGTAAAGAGGAGAAGGCATAACCAGAAGAATTGTGAGAAATAAGTCAATTTATCAAGTTGAGGCATTTCGATTTTGATTTCAAATAAAACCCTCAAGACAGAAAAATCTGATTCTAACTTCTTTCTAACTCATTTGCAGTCTTCCTCACATGGATTTGGAGTTCCACCAGCTCTTTTTATCAAAAGGTTTCATGCTAGCCCCTCCAGCCGCGTCCCTCTTTTCTCCTGTGGCATGCAGCCACACCGGCTCTCTCAGGTGATATTTGTTGTTTTGTAACCTTTGTATGTTTCCTTAACGTCGATTCGTCGAATGGTTTCATATTATTATTTAATCAAATGCAGGAATTGAAGTATTCTTCTAGGCCAGTCAAGGTCCGTTGTCTTTGTGCCTATTTAATTCTGCTTAGTTTTATTTTGTGTTTGTGTTCAGTTTCTGTGAATATGGATCATTTATTTGCTGTCATGTGTGAAACCTAGCATGTTGTGAACTCTTGGCCCTGTTAGTTGCTAGTACTTGTACAGTCCGTATGGAACTGCTAGTGTAATCAAATTTTGCTTAGTTTGGTTTTTTTGCCTATCTGTCCATTTATTTGCTGTCATGTGTGAAACCTAGCATGTTGTGAACTCTTGCCCCTGTTAGTTGCTAGTGCTTGTACAGTCCGTATGGAACTGCTAGTCTAATCAAATTTTTCTTAGTTTGGTTTTTTTATCTATCTGTCATCAAATTCTGCTTATTCTTAGTTTGATTTGATATTGTTCCTTCTTTCTTTCTAGGATTTTCTTTGCCAGATGAAGTTGCAGAACTTGCAGAATTTTCTTACCAGGAGATGGTCCGAGTTGCCTGATAGGTAATTGCATCTTTGGATGGATGAACCAAATGACTAAGATGGTAATGACATCTTCAACAAACTTAATTTGGTGCCCTCCTGTTTGTAGAGTGAGAGATAAGCTTGAGACTGTTGCTATCGGCTCTTTCGTTGCTATGATTGAGTACTCTGTGTACGGCATTTGGAAAATTGTTGTGGGAGCTGCGGGAGGAGCTGCTATGCGTGGGCCTGAAGCTTCAGGTGGAGAAGTGAAGGCGGAAATAGCTAGTCTCAGGTTGGATTTGGCTGTTGAGTAGGTTCTTGCAAAAGCAGACAAGATGTGGTATGAGGTGAAGAAGATGAGAACCGAGGCTGACAAGATGCGCAATGAGGCTGAGAAGATGAAGTCAGAGGCTGACAAGATGCGCAATGAGGCTGAGAAGATGAAGTCAGAGGCTGACAAGATGCGCAACAAGTCTGAGAAGATGAAATTAGAGGCTGACAAGATGCGCAACGAGGCTGAGAAGCTTAAATCTGAATCAGGGAAGCTGAAAGCCGAGACTGATAAGCTGAGATCTGAGATAGAGATGATAAAGATGTGGACACTGCTGCTGACAAAAGCTTCTTCAGATCCTAAGTGGTCCACTGCTGCCACTAGGAAGGTATGTTTTCTTGCAACTGTGTCTATATATGCCTGTTGCATCTTATATCTAACTACACTGTTGTGCCTATATCCTGTTGCTTCCTGTATCTAACTCTACTGTTGTGTGATTGCAGGATCGCTCTGCCACTTCATCGAACATGAAGGCCTCACAGGATTGATAGCTCTGCCACTTCATCGAACATGAAAGCCCATCTGCTGCTCTTCTACTGAACATAGTCCAATGTTTACTTCTGTCAGCCCAATGTTACTTCTGCGGCTCTTCTGCTGCTGCTTCATAGAAATGTTTCTGCAAACACTGTGGTTCCCAGTTTGACTGTTTGTGTTAGCACTCTGTGTAGTTCCATGTCGGTGTTAACACTCTGGGTTTCCATTTCATACCATACGGATATGATTAGGAGCTGGATCCTTTCCCAATGTGGTCAGATTGCAGCAGGAAGTTTTGAATATATCTCATGAGATTGCTGTGATTGTGGTTGGTCCGCTGTTGTCCCTGTGTCGTTGAGATTGTGAATGGCTTAGCCCTTTGCTTGCATGTTGGGGATGTCCTCCTAGTGTCGGCTCGCCGCTTGCTACTGTCGCTATTCCCAAGTCGTTCTTGTCTTATGTTCATTTGGCATCGTGTTGGCAAAATATGATACTGATCGATCTCGCCTTCTTTAGGCGACGGAGCGTACATTTCATCAGTGAGGCAAATACACAACTTATGATCGCGTTAGGCGAATAATTGCAGCACCAATCATTCCGTCCAGCTCAGTAGGCGTCTAGTAAGGTTCCACCAGGTGCTCGCGTGCTTTGGGAGTTGGGAGGGACCAAGCCCGCCCCGCCGCAAGGATCTGAATTGCCTGCTCAGTGCTCACCCACTTGCCACCCACGATCTATTCAGTTCGGCTGCTCCGTACCACCTCCAGCCGGCGACGCTCCTCCTCGACTCTTCCGCATCCGGCGCTGCTACTCTGCCCACCCACCGTCGGCGCTGCTCCTCTGCCCACCCACCGCCGGCGCCGCTTTCAATCCACCTCCGCCGTCGCCAACCGTCAACTCACAACCTTCCGGCGCCCTCCCTCTTCCCCGTCGGCGCCACCCCTCCCGCCTACCGGAGTTCTGGCCTACTGCATTCAGGTATCCCGATCCGCATGTATTTTGGATTAGGATTGTTGCTTCATAACTTCATTGTACAATTGCATATTCCTGTTTAGTCAAATCGAATTTTTGTAGCGGAAGGTTACAATGCTCGCATGGTTCATTTAGCTTGTCAGTAAAGATGTGTAGTACGAATGAATTACTGGACATGCTTATTTTAAATGCCTTGAAAAACCCACTCGAATGTTTCTGCCTGAAGTTATCTGCCTGATGTGCACAGTCCATCTTGACAGTCACAATTACAGGCAGACTTAGCTGTCATAGAGCCTATAAACAAGTTAATCAACAGCCTCTCACAGAGATTGGATCCTATAGACTGGGCCACGTAAGATTTTTTTTTTCCAATTTAAATTGTTATACCTGTCATGTTATTAAAATACGTAACAAATTAACTACAGACTAGCTGAGCCGACTGGGAGTAATGGAAACTGATCCAATGACCGAACTGTTGCACAGTCTGGTGCACTACCTCAGTGAATTTGTATGAGTTCCCTTGGTCAACACATATTGGCAAATGAAGCTTGAAAGTGAAGTATAGTTCAGTGGCAACCAATTGGGTTTCTCCAGTCTGATGGATAATCAGTGAAGGCTCTGGTGTAAACTTTGGTTCATCTGCAATAAGCAACTCCCTGAAATATGAATGAGTATCAACAATCTGAACATCAAGCTGAAACTGACCAACACATTGCTGTCCCAAATCACTTGCCAGCTGCTGCGTATTCATAATCTGAATTTCCGGAATGATTGGCTTGTTGTACTTGTACACGAGACCGGCTATGTGCAATATTATTATTGCAGATGCTCGATTGAAACTGGACAAGCATAATCCATGTGCCACCAGAAAATCATCAAATAATCCATATCTCAACTGTTTGATAGCCCAAATTCCACGAAGTAAGCCCTCAGCACACTCAATGGTTTGCTGCAAGATAACCAGTAGCCATACCATGCTGCCAAGAGGAATGATATAGCACAGCCCTTGGAAAATAAATTTGTCAGAGCATAATTCCTCTCCTGTGGTCAAGTCTGGTCCAGGCACAACCACATAAACAACTCGCAATTCAAGCAGCAGTTTCCTGGATACAAAGTAGTCCTCACACTTGACCAACTGTTCACTTGTATCATTCTGAAATTTGTTGCTACAGAATACCATAGAGCTGTCAGGTTGCATCTGAATAGCATCACACCAGGCAACCCAAACTGAAGCACTGAGAGATATCCATGGAAACTCCCACTCCATGCTCTGAAAATCAGTGAACAAGTTCCTATAGTTGTCATTGTCAAGCAATAATTCTAGTATGACTGCCAAAAGTTGTGGATGTTGCTGAAAAAAATCAACATTAGTGACTAGATGCAAGTGTGCTGACATGTACGTGGAAATGAGATAATAGCACATTCCTGCCATCTTGTTGACAAACTCTGTCCCCTTTATCAACCTTTTGTTTCCATAGTCCTGATGCTGCATGGTATTTTGAGATGCCCATGGCTGCTGCAATGCGCCAAGCTCTGCATTTGCAATATTCATTGTGCCCGAAAATTCCTTTACCACTTCATCAACAAGAAATTTCGCCCAGTAATTTCTGCTCTTGATCACCAGTTCTGCATTGCTATGAACTTGTGTAATTTTATCCACCCAGAAACAGTTTCTGTAGAGAGAATCTCCACAATTCAAGGCAAAAATCAATGCAATGCCCTTAATCCCATCAACAAGCTCGCTGAACATTGGTATGCAATGTGGCAACCATAACATACTCTGATGCACCGCTGAGATCAGTGCCAACAGAAATATAGAAGGATGTCCTTTCAGGTTCAACAGAGAATAGACTGCTATACTGATAGTTAAGCCTAGTGCTATGTATCTTGTTTTTACTGTTTCCTGTCATCTACTTTTCAGGCTTCTAAGCTTTGTATTAGGAATATGCTCAGCATCCACTTTAGTGGTTAGAATATGCTGGAGCAGGTAGACCACTTTGCTCTATAAGTAGCAGTGGTGAGGACCTTCTTATATCCTAAGTATTGCACTTCAATTCAATCCAAGCGGCCTAGTGCCAAGCTGCCCTCTGGCAGCCCAAATCTGAGATCCATTTTGTGGTGTTGTGGCCAACAATTGGTATCTAGAGCCTAGGTTTCTTGAGTGAGCGCCATGTCCACTGCCAGCAAGGTTGCGCGCGCCAACACCGCCGCTGCTGCCAGTGCGGTGATCAACCCCGGTGGTGTGGCAGCAGGAGGATCCGACAACCGCGCTACGCGCCTTGCTGCCGCGGAGGCAGCGGCTGCGGAGGTGGTTGAGACAGCCAGGCAGGCAGTTGCTGCGGCCCAAGCCGCGGCGGCTGAGGTTGCAGCGCTGCGCGCCGAGATGGAGCGGGAGCTGGCCGGTGGATCGCGAAGCCCAGTCGGGTGCCGCCGCTAGTCGCTGTCACCAAAGCGGCGTCGTGGGCGTCCTTGCCGCTCTCCGGTGGTGCAGACCGTTTACCGCGACTCGGGAGCAGGGACGCCATGGCCGATGCTCACCAAATCGAACTACCATGAGTGGAGCATGCTCATGAAGGTGAAGATGCAGGCCCGGCAGCTCTGGGAGGCAGTCGACGTTGGTGGCGCGAGCTACAATGATGATCGGCGGGCGATGGAGGTGTTGTGCGCCGCCGTGCCGACGGAGCTCGCCGCGTCCCTCGCCAACAAGCGCATTGTGAAGCTAGCGTGGGAGTCCATCGCCACAGCGCGCATCGGCGACAACTGAGTACGCCGTGCGATGCTGCAGCGACTTTGCCGGGAGTGGGAAGGCCTCGCCTTTAACCCCGGTGAGCAAGTCGAGGACTTTGCCCTCCGTCTCTCCAATCTGATGCAGCAGATGGCGTGGAACGGCGACACCGACCACATGACCGGCCGCCGCAAGCCGTTCACCGACCTCGACTGCAATGTCCGCAGTTCGGTGAAGTTCGGCGACGCCTCAAGGGTAGAGATTCAAGGTATCGGCTCGATCGTCTTCGAGGGCAAGACCGGCGAGCACCGGGTACTTCACGGCGTCTACTACATCCCGGTGCTGCGCAACTCGATCATGAGCCTCGGCCAGCTGGACGAGGGCGGCTCAATGGTGGAGATTGACAAGGGCGTGCTGAGGATATGGGATCGGCGCGGCCGGCTTCTGGTCAAGGTCCAGCGCGGCGCGAACTGCCTCTACGTCCTCAACCTCAAGACGGCTCGGCCGCTCTGCCTCGCCGCACGCAAGGATGACGAAGCTTGCGCTGGCACGAGCGGTTCGGCCACCTCCACTTCGACACGCTGCACAGGCTCAGCAAGGAGGCCATGGTGCGCGGACTGTCGGTGATCAAGCACATCGGGTAGTTCTGCGACACCTGCGTCGTCACCAAGCATCCGCGCACAGGAGCAGCTCGAGCTCGTCCACGGTGATCTTTGCGGGCCCGTGCCGCCGTCAACTCCTACCGGAAGGCGCTACATCTTGCTGGTGGTGGATGATGCCACCCGGTTCATGTGGGTGGTCCTCCTGCCGACCAAGGATGTTGCTGCAGACGCCATCAAGCAAGTGCAGGCAGCGGCGGAGAAGGAAAGTGGCCGCAAGCTCTGGGTGCTGCACACCGACAATGACCGGGAGTTCACCGCCGCGGAGTTCGCCAGCTACTGCGTAGATGAAGGCATCAAGCGCCATTTCTCTGCCCCCTACTCGCCACAGCAGAACGGGGTCGTGGAGAGGAGGAACTAGACGGTGGTGGCCATGGCGCGGGCGTTGCTGAAGCAGCGAGGAATGCCGGCCAAGTACTGGGGGGAGGCGGTGGTGACAGCAGTTCATCTTCTTAACCGATCGCCAACAAAGAGCTTGCAGGGCAAGACCCCGTACTAGGCGTGGCATGGGCGATCGCCGACAGTGACGCACCTCCGCACGTTCGGCTGCCTCGCCTACGCCAAGGAGCTGAACTAGGTGAGGAAACTTGATGATCGTAGCCGGCCTGGAGTCTTCTTCGGGTATGCAGAGGGCGCCAAGGCGTACCGCGTCCTTGACCCAGAGTCCCAGCGCGTGCGTGTGACGCGCGACATCGTCTTCGACGAAGGACGCGGCTGGGATTGGACCAAGGCTGGAGAGGACTCGGCATCGGCGGTGGAGGAGTTAACCGTCGAGTATGCGTGGATTGGAGGAGCTGGGGGAGCACAGAGTGCGTCTCCATCGGCGGCTGGGGCATCAACGCCGCCGGCTGCATCTCCAGCTCCACCGCGCTCGCCGTCACCAAGTCCGGGGGAGCCCGGAAGCATGACGGCAGCAGCTGGCACTCCATCCGCGGCCCAGCCGGCTTCACTAACGGCGTCTCCGACTGCTGCATCTCCTGCTTTCTGTACTGCCACACCACCGCCCGTCGATCAAGCTCCGATCTAGTACGCCACGCCACTGGAGGATGAGGAGGACCGTCTGGACGCGTTCTACGACGATGAGCCTCTCCGCTACTGCACGGTGACAAACATCATCGGCGACGGGACTCCACCAGGACAGGCGCCGCGGCTCTTCGCCCAGCTGCACCTGACGCAAGCAGCGAGCCGACTACCTATGCTGAGGCGCAAGGCGACCCAGCATGGCGAGTGGCAATGGAGTAGGAGCTCGAGTCTGTTGAGAAGAATAAGACTTGGGAGCTCGTCGACCTGCCTGCTGATCACCGCCCTATCACCCTGAAATGGGTGTTCAAGCTGGAGAAGGATGAGAAGGGCGCGGTGACCAAGCACAAGGAGCGGCTAGTGGCGCGCGGCTTTGTTCAGCAAGAAGGCATCGACTACGACGACGCGTTTGCCCCCGTGGCGCGCATGGAGTCGGTCCGTGTCTTCCTCGCGTTGGCTGCCTAGGAAGGATGGCGAGTCCATCACATGGAAGTGAAGTCCGCATTCCTCAATGGCAACCTCAAGGAGGAGGTGTACATGAGTCAGCCGCCAGGCTTCGCCGTCGCCGGGGAAGAAGACAAGGTGTACCACCTGCGCAAGGCCCTCTACGGCTTGCGGCAGGCCCCGCGCGCCTGGAACGCGAAGCTTGATGCCACGCTCAAGGCAATGGGCTTTTAGCAGAGCGTGCACGAGGCGGCGGTGTACCGGCGGGGCAGCGGCGCACTGTCCTACTCGTCGGCGTCTACGTCGATGACCTCATCATCACCGGTGCTGAAGAAGGAGAGGTGGAGAAGTTCAAGGCACAAATGAAGGAGAAGTTTGACATGAGCGACCTCGGCTTCCTCTGCTTCTATCTTGGCATCGAGGTGCGCCAGGATGCCAACGGCATCACCCTCCGTCAAGCTCACTATGCCAAGTGCATCCTTGAGCTCGGCGGCATGGCTGGCTGCAGCCCAGCTCACACGCCGATGGAGGAGAAGCTCAGGCTCAGCTGTCACAGCACGGCGGAGGAGGTGGACTCCACGCACTACCGGCGGCTTGTCGGCAGCCTTCGGATCTGGTGCACACCCAGCCGGACTTGGCGTTCGCGGTCGGGTTCATGAGCCGGTTCATGGAATGGCCCACGGTGGAGCACCTACAGGCCGTGAAGCGCGTTCTCCGATACGTGGCGGGTACCCTGGACTACGGTCTGCACTACCAGAGGGCCCCCGGCACGGCGTGCTTCGTCAGCTACTATGACAGCGACCTCGCCGGCGACATTGACACAAGCAAGAGCACCAGTGGAACCATGTTCTTCCTCGGTGACTGCTTGGTCAGCTGGCAATCCATCAAACAGAAGGTGGTGGCACTGTCGAGCTGCGAGGCAGAGTACATTGCCACTACCACTGCGGCGACACAAGCTCTGTGGCTGTCAAGGTTGCTTGGAGAGCTCCTTGGCAGAAAGGTCGATGTGGTGGAGTTGAAGGTGGACAGCAATGCTCTAGCTCTGGCCAAGAATCCAGTCTTCCATGACAGGAGCAAGCACATCCGTATCAAATACCATTTCATCAGGGATTGCTTGGAGGAAGGGAGCATCAAGGCCAACCACATCGCCACTACTGATCAGCTAATAGACATCCTTACCAAGTCGCTGGGCAAGGCCAAGTTCCAGGAGATGAGGAGAAGGATTGGACTGAGGCAGATCACTCAGCACCAGGCTTAGGAGAAGATTGATAGTTAAGCCTAGTGCTATGTATCTTGTTTTTACTGTTTCCTGTCATCTACTTTTCAGGCTTCTAAGTCTTGTATTAGGAATATGCTCAGCATCCACTTTAGTGGTTAGAATATGCTGGAGCAGTTAGACCACTTTGCTCTATAAGTAGCAGTGGTGAGGACCTTCTTGTATCCCAAGTATTGCACTTCAATTCAATCCAAGCGGCCTAGTGCCAAGCTGCCCTTTGGCAGCCCAAATCTGGGATCCATTTTGTGGTGTTGTGGCCAACATATACCGTGCTCAACTATACTGCCATGTCGATCAGGTGACCATGGAACTAGCAACAACTCAAACCCATTTAATGCAAGACAATGACGCATAGGTGCTATGCAAGTACTCTGGACACAAGCTGAGCAGTAAACATTATCCAATAATGGCACCAATATAAGGAGCTGAATTGCAAATGAGAAGCTGAAGCTCAATATGGAATACCAATCATAATCTTGCCAGCCAAAGCTCCATTTCCAATCAGGTTGTGACCAACTGACTCGGAACTGTATGTTCTTTTGACAACCACCCAATGCCTGCACTTCTATTTTGGAAATAACCAGTTCTACTGACAGTGACTTCTCCATATGACCAACACAAAAAGATGGCCATGGAATTGGCCTGATCTGACCCCCAGATCTCAGCATCGCAAACTGCATATATGGTGAACACTTCCCATTGGCAACCAAGTGGGTAGGGTGGACATTGGTATACCTACTCAGCATTCCAACAGACGCCACCACCGCAATCTGTAGAGGCATGACGAGCTTGGGGTCGTTCTCCATGGAAGCTGCTTGCTGGCTCAGCAATTCATTGAACACCTTCGGGGCACCAATAGAAACGTTGGATGGCATGACCAAAGTTGCAACAGAGCATGAATCCTGAGCTGAAGTGGTTGACGCTTGAGATGCCAACAAGGAAACTGGCGTCACCAAGGAGGCCGCCAGCATGGACGCCATGGGTGGAGCCACCTTGCCCACGACCTGGCCTGTATCGGCCGCAGGGACAGGCGTCGTAGCTGTCGGGCGATGCACATACTTGGCGGTGACAGGAAGAGGAAGACCATGAACTCGACGCCGAGGTGCTCCTGAGCCACGTACTTGAGGACAGAGACGGACACGTCCCGGTCGGACTCGATGGCGAGGTACTCGAGATCCTCGTCGCTGTCGACAAAGACGAGCGCGTCGTGGTAGAACTCGAGGGCGAGGTGCTCCAGAGCCTTGTCGTCGAGGACGAAGACGGGCGCGGTGGTGCGGGCGGCAAAGTCGACGAACAGACGCCTCCGCTCGGCAAGCCGCGAACGGTGCTGTATGAGCTCGCGCGCAAGCCCGCCTGGCTGCAGCGGCGGTACGTGCCTCCCGTGTGGCACGCACAGCCCCGAGGATGGCCGTGCGGACACGCTGGTCCCTCGTCGGCGTCTTGGTGATCTTCTTCTTTGCAGCGAGGAACGGCGGCATTGGAAGACGGAAGGAGACGGCGGCGCCAGCTGCACGTGGAGGCAGCGCTGCGGTGGTGTCTGGAGTCAGCGCAGCAGTCGGAGTCGAGGTGAATCCGATCGGTACGCCGAAGAGGAGCACGGGTGCGGCCGGTGACGCTGCAGGCGTGGACGGCGCGGTTAGGGTTGAAGTCACCGCTGGCCTCCGGACGCCCAGCACCGCTCACAGCGCCGCTCATAGGGCGCACCGGAGCTCCAGGAGAGCCGCGATCCTCACCGCTCGCGACCCGCACGTCCACTGACGGGACGGAGGAGCTCTGAACGTCTTCACTGCCGGCGGAGGCAACGCCAGCACTACCGGCCGAAGACGCGGCCGCCGCGATCACCAGAGCACCGATCTTTTTCTTCTTTTTCGCAGGCGCCTGAGTTACAGCGGCGCCCTTCCTCTTCTTGGACTCGGCCTCCGCCGTAACATTCTTCGCGAAGGCCTTCTTCTTCTTCTTGTCAATTGAAGCTAGAACCTCGACGGGAACCGCGCGCTCCCGGTAGATGATCCCGAGCTCCTCAAAAACACGATTGAGCCGCGGCATGGTGCACCTTACGGCTCTCCGAGACGGTACTCACGCCGAAATTTTGCCAACCAACCCGACGGTGGCCTCCTCAACGCCGGCAACGGTTGTCCTCCGTCACCCCTCCCCCTAAGACCGGCAAAGCGGGGAAAGGAATCCGGCCTCCGGACCAAAAAACAGGAATCTTCACCTTTTCCAACCGAAAGGCGGGTTGTCCTTGCCCAGGGGCCAGTAGTTGGAGGCCATAATCTCCTCCACCAGGTCGCGGCCCCCGGAGTAGCGGCACGCATCCGGAAAAGCCTGGTCGCAAGCCTTCCTCGCCGGAGACTCTTCCTCCGGCGGATCCACGCGCGTATGCGGCGCCATCTCCTCCATTCTTGAAGTCAATGGATACTCCACGACCTCCGCACCATCCTCGGTAGTGCCGTGGACCCCGTAGGTCTTCACGTAGAACCACTGCTCAAGCCAGCCACGGTCCCACTTGCCCTTCTGGCAAAAAGAAAGCTCCAGGCGGTCTACGCCCTGGTTCCTCTTCGACATAAAGGTGCAACTACCATACTGGTAGGTCACCTCCACCTCCTTGCCCTCCCGCACCTCCTTCTTCTTCGGCTGCTTCTGCAGCTCGTAGTACACACAGAAGGTGTCCACATCCGGCTCGGCACCATAAGAAACACACGCCCAACAAAATTTGCTGAGCGTAAGGAAGGCCGTAGGGGTCAGATGGTAAACCTAGACGTTGAACGTCTCCAACACCCGGCGGAGGAAGGGGACGTAAGGAAGGCGGAGGCCGCAAGTGAAAAAATCCCGAAACACCACCGCATACCCCTCCTCCGGCTCCGGAACGGTCTGGTCGGGCGGAGGGATTTTTACCCTCGAAGAAGGAAAATACGATTCCTTCAACATCTCCGCGACCGCTGCTTCAGTAATGGAGGAGGGGCCAAAATCCCATGACTTTATCGCCATGTCTCTGGAATCCGCAGCGATCAGGTCTCCGACAGACACAGAGACACTCCCCAAATCCTCCTCCACTAGCTTTTCAAATTCCAACGCGGAGGCGGAGGCAAGCATGCACTCCTCAAAGCGCGCACTCCAGTCGACGGCCCTAACGCCGAGAAGGTGGCGATAGGGTCCGAAGAAGGTGGGCCGGCGAGTATGGGCGGAGGCGGAAAAGGAAGCCACCGCGGCGGCAGCCTAGGTGGAAGACGCAAGCGGAAAGACAGAACACGCGAAGGCAGCTCAGGCGAAACCGAAGAGAGCAAAGAGCGATTTCTCAGAGGCAACGAAAGCGAATGAGCAGTGCGGGGGGGGGGGGACCCCGCAACCAACCCCGCCCTTATATAGGACGTGGGCGGGCGGTTCGGCTACTGCCGTACAACGGTCATCTCCGGACAATTCGCCTGCCGCCCAACAACCATCTCCAAAAAAGTCGCAAGGTATACAACGGAAAGCAATACGACGTAAACGGCCACAGCGTAGGACAACGACTAGTTTTGCAGCCTAACGGCTACTATGACAAGACCAGCGGCCACGCCAGAGCAGGCCAGGGGGGAACCTGCGGGGATCGGTCGGAGACATGACTACGCGCAGTCTCCGCCCCCACGGACGTCCTTGCTTAGGGCATTTTGAGTTCACGACACGCTCGGCCTCCGAGGGTGGCGGAGACCTACGCGGCCAGCAGTTCGCAGAGACGTCTCCGACCGACTACATAAGCAAAGGCCCGGCTACCACGCCTCCAGACCTAGAAAGATGACGGTTTCTCAGACTGCTTGCAGGACGCCGCCGGTGACCCTGGCGCAGCCTCCGCCCGGTTAGCTCATAGGCGTCTCCGGCCGGAGGGGGCAGAGGCCGCCCCGCTGCAAGGCTAATCAAGTGCAAACGTTATCTACGTGTGTGTGCAGGTAACCAGAGGAAGGCGCTCGTGGACGGCGCGGGCGCGCCGGTTCGGCCTCCGCTCGCAGGGGCAGAGACCCAAGCAGGAGGACGCCAATACTGGGCGTCGGGGGTCTGCGGCCTCGGCGTCCCAGGGGCGGAGACCGATGGCGGAGGCCCAAAGGCCCATCGCCGAATCCTGAGGCTTGATGGGCCGGCTGATCGTGCAGGCCCAGTACCTGAGGGCGGCAAGACAAGATTACCCCCGAGAAGAAAGGCGAGTAGTGGGATATTCCGAGAATGTACTGTAGCAGTTGAAGGGTACTATTGTAAACTCTGTGAAAGTGGTAGTTGATCCCTATAAATAGGGAACACTTGTAACAGTACGAGAGGTTGGTGAATGAATTAATGAAACCCTAGTTTTACGTGACATTTCCCTACACGCCCGCTTGTCGTGTCTGTCTCCCGAGCCTCAGCCTGAGGGCAGCGCCTGGCGGGCGGAGGCCTCCACCTCCTCCACATTGTCTGAGACCGCAAGTCTCAACATGGTCAAAACCTCTAAAAACTTCTTCCAGTCCTAATACACCTTGCAAACATGAGTGAAGACTTCTTCAAGTCCTAATACTCCTAGCAAACATGAGCGGAGGTAGTATAGAAAACTAGAGACATGAACGGACAAAGTTTAGTAACTCTAACTTGTTGAAATTAAAGGAGATAACTACAAGCTATGTCTCATTTTCTCTTATGTAGTAATCCTTCATTTTGCAAAGCTTTCTCTTAGGTAACCATTAGGCATTTCGTTGAACTTGAAGCATCATTACTCTCATATAATTTCTCCTTGTAGATCCCTGGAGAAGCTGCACATTTAAAGAGAGAAAGGAGGGGAAGGGGCAAAAACAAGAAAGGATAGAATGAATTTAACCAAACACACCACAAGGTCAACTAATTAACGATGAAGATAACTTCACCTGGACATATGCAATACCAAGAACACCTTATAAAACGAGTCATACAATATATCTCAAGTCCATTGTTACAACACATGACTATCATGCTTAATAAAGTTGGGGAAGCTGAAATATCCTTTTTATATATGTCCTTCTAATCACAAAAAAATGAAATATCATCTCTTCTATATATGTCCACTGTTACAAATGATGATCATATCCAAATAATTCTTAAGTGTATAAGAAATCTTGATAGCACTACTGTTTTTAAATAAACAGTAATGCTACATGTACTTATCAAACATGCACACTAGCTACTAGTTAACTACATTCGATATAAATGGTAATTTGGCCAGCTTGGTTAAAAGACAACACCAACAAAAATTCAGACATAGCCACTTAAAAACATATCCAAACTCAAAAGATCATATATGCATGTATATAGAATGAATAGCTCTACTTATGCAGATATTCATACTCGTATGTGTCTTCCTCTACATAAATGGACAAGTACCACAAGATATCACCACACTGCACTAGCTAGATCATATGGTGAGATCAAGAGTACTTGTCCTTGTTGGATGCGCTTTCCCTTTTTCCATATTGAGACCTAGGACTTTATGATGATGACCACCACTACTGGTCCTCACACAAGGAGGAGATGGGAACAAAGAAAGAGATAGCCGAGTATCATCAGTAGCACTCTCGACTTCTTGATCCCCAGCATTCTCCTTTTGTTGATGTCTTCCCCAGGTACAACCTGGTATCTTTATTCTCTTGTCCCGGCGTGGGCCGATATCCAATGCGAATTCGAGATCAAGAGGATCATGGTGGATATTATCCTCATTGCGCGGCAGTCGTCGTTGATGATGATTCATGAATTGATCATTTTGATACGACAAACACCTTTGAAGAGTAGACACTGGAGTGCTGCTAGTAGCTCTAGCAGTATACTGAGCACGAGTTCTAAGGAATGCGTTGGCTTCTGCTGTTGATGAGTAGTAGGGTTTTGATCCAAGAAGATGGTGACTGTGAAGCAAATATGATGGATCATGGAAATTGTTCCAATGACGGGGCCATGAACCAAACCTAGTCCACATAAACCAATTAATGACATTATTAATTAGTTCGAGAACCATGTGCTGCCTGCTTATTGTTTTTTTTTGAGGGAACTGCCTGCTTATTGTTGACATAAGAAAAAGGTGTAGAAATTTAATGGACGGATTTTATTTGCAAGTGTTCCATGCATGATCAGCCATGGATCCATCCAACTACCTTGCTGACAATATGGTACTAGCACCAGTCTGGCCGTGATGCAAGGAGAGATGCCCGAGGTTGTACGCTGATCCCCCATCCTGCAACTGATGAAGATCTCTCCATGAACCAGTAGTACCTATCACTGTAAAAGAGTAGTATAACTTACCATGTCAAGGGGTAGTTGTATATATACATGATGGATAACCGAGTCTACGAACTGAAACAACGTGATGTTGCTCAAGAATTAGTCTTACCCTGGCCCGAGTCGTCGATCTTCTTGCTCCTATACATCTGAAAATCATCAAAAGGAAATATGGAACATGGTGAAATTAACCAGCAAGAAATTAAATTTAACCAAATTAGGGATATAAGAAGGTTGTATGAAGAGATCTGCATAGATATACTTGGAGATGGCTCTTGACATGGCCTATGCTAAGCCCTTTAACGTTCATCAGTTGAAGAACGAGCTTTGGAGTTGCACCTACATACACACAACACAAGCATCCATGAAATGAACTGAAATCACCTGACAGACAGACAGACGGACAGAGAAAGAGAGAGGGACAGAGAAAGAGAGAGACATTGATTTACTGAAACTAGCTAATATATAATCAGGAGGTGGACAGGTGGTTGCTTACGGTCTTGGCCGCCGAGCCTGTCGACGGCGCGGAGGAAGCAGAGGTGGAGCTCCGGCGTCCAGCGGAGGCGGGGGTTCTTGGACCGCACGTAGGGCCGCACCGAGGACGGCGAGGCGCCAGCGGCCTTCCTGCCGCTGTCCCCGCCGGCTTCATCCAGCTCCACCGTGCTGCTATTGCTTGAGCTCCCGTCGTGCCCGCGAGGCACATCGTCGGCGCCACCAGCATCATCACCCTCCCCGTCGCCCCCCGCCTCGCCGACGGACGGCAGATGCTGATCTGCAGAGGTCTCATCGAAGCCTTTGCTACTATATATATCTCCCTCCATGCACGACCGGCCGGTGGATCACCAGCGCTGCCGGCCGGCGACCAACTCTATCAACAAGCAAGGGAGCAGTAGTAGTAGTAGTAGATGTTGATGAGCGATGAGCTGAGCAGGTCCAACTCTCTCTTGTGAGTTGTGGCATGCATCTCTTTGCTGCTAGCTATTGCATCATAGCGGTCGTCACCGATCGATCTAACTCTCAGAAGAAGTGATAGCAAGAGAAGACCAAAACAAAGGTGAGGTCATCATGGAACGATGATCATTCTTTCTATCTAACTAGATATATGTGTGTGTCTGCATATAGGCGTTGTCTGAGATGACAAGAGTGATCTCATATATATATGCACCCCCCATATATATTTATAAATATACATAATATATGGCTTAATTTGTGAGAAAGGAAGAGCATCATCAAGGCAAAAGGTTGGGAAAAGGTGAAACCACAATCAATCCCAACTGACGACCTTATTATATAGAAAATATAGTACTGTGTGGAGTGTGGACTAATAAGCAGTTACAACCCTAAAGTCTTTGGCTTCTGTTGGAGTTTGGTCATACCAGTGACTAATGTTTTTGTTTGTTTGTATCAGTAATCTGCTTTATTTCTGTCTCCATCCAACTGGTACGGCACGTAGGAGCTGTGTAGACGACTGACTAGAAGGTACGGTGTGAAAGAGAATGTAGAACGAATGAAATAGAAGACCCTGTTAGAATCCATCCAGTGTGAGACAAGGGAGGATATATAATTTATATATTCATGCACATCAGCACATGACATGCTTCTCCGATCCTGATGAGTCGCCGCTTGCGCTTGGTGTATGAGTAGGTAGGTGTTTCAGTCTGTCTCGTAGCTACTAGCTGTGTAGGTACTTTGACTAGCTGCATATACTTTCGTCTGTCATATAGCCAGTACACACAACAAAGTCATAGTGCATATATGCATTGTATGCATGTATTATTATTATGTACGTATAGCCGCTCCATGCATGCACGCCCTTTGTTGTTCCAAGTAACAGATCAGATCGTGCTGATAATCTCTGCATATATGTGATTAATTGCATGCATGCTCGTGTAGTAGTACGTCACTTTGTACCTGGGTGGCAGGAGACACCAGCATTCGAACAAACAAAAGAAACAAATAAAGCAGCCAACCAGTACAATTAGGTAGAACGGCTCAACAAGTACTCCCTCCCTCCGTTGTTAAATATGATAATATATGATTTCTAGGATATAAACTAATCAGTATTATATTTCTGACAATAATATAATTAGTTTGTCCAAAATGTTATTCCCTCTATTTCAAATTATAAGTCGTTTTGATTTTTTAGACATCTATTTTACTATATGTATCTAGATATAAATGGACGTAGAGGGAAAGGGAGGGGAGAGAGAGCTGGCGGCGGGGCTAGGGTTGCCGCCGCCTGAGTCGCCTGTGTGGGGGCGAGAGAGTCCGTCTCTATCCGTACTCGATGAACTAATTGATCTCTGCATTACATTTATATTAAACATTAATTAAGACTTAACAGAGGAGGGGTTGGAAATCCAGCTGTAGTTGCACGTGTTTATGCAACGGGCCGGGCTACTAGCTAAGATATATGCAGTTAAATCGTTGTGATAAGATGAGCTGAGAGATCGATGCGACCTAGGAGACTCTATTATATTATATACTAAATCTGTTCCGAATTATAAGATGTTTTTGCTTTTTTATATATCTAGACATAATTTATATGTATATGCATAGTAAATACAACGTATCTAAAAACAGAAATGATATACAACACACATGTGTTTTAGCAAAAAAAAAACACATGGATTTTTTTTCCCTCTCTCTTTTCAACTGTCTGCATGTTTGCTTGCTGCTGGCTGCTGCATGCGTTCATGTGTGTGCGTGACCGCAGCAGTGTAGATCACTACTACAAAAAGCATTTTTAGGGCGGCTGGTAACCCTTTGTAGGGGCGGTTTGGCCAGCCGCCCTCACCGAACTGCCTCTACAAATCATGCATTTGTAGGGCGGTTCAGTCGCCCTACAAATAGATTTATTAGGGCGGTTGGTGATTGAGCCGCCTACAAATAGATTTGTAGGGCGGTAATTTGATGGTATGAACCGCCCTACAAATCTATTTGTAGGGCGGCTCAAGAACTCACCGCCTCTACAAATCTATTTGTAAAGGCAGCTAAAGCTCACCGCCTCTATAATACCTATTTGTAGGGGCGGTTCAATCTAGAACCGCCCTACAAAGACGCTTTTCCCGCCAAAAAAATTCAAATTTACAATTCAAATTCGATCGAACTGTTTGTTTCTGCAGATTCCATCCAAAGATCCGCGCGTTGCGAACGCCTCACGACCAACGTTCGAACGCGCGTTAAGCGTTGCAACGCCACGCCACCAACGTTCGAACGCGACTACAAGCATAATAGTATTATATAAAATACAATTACAAGTCCAATTCGTAATGATATATATATACAATCCATCATTAAATATATAAATTTCATACACATTGTTATCAACGTCCTAGAGCTAGCCTTTCGGTCTCACGAAGGTGTTGGTGCTTGAGGATTTGTACCTAAGTCAGACTCTCGATCATGGTAGGCGCCTCTGACGTGTACAATCTGGTCCAATATGAAGTTGCAAAGGTCGCCGACGAGCTCTAAGAGTTGGTCATCCTTGTATGGGTCTCTTTTCATTCCTTTCTCTTCTCTCCACTACAAGAAAACAAGTTTCAGCTTTAGTATTTCATACCATTTATGAAGTTTTTATACTACGGGTGAAGAGGTTCAAACTTACCCCTAAGGGGTGTCTCTGTAGAGGCACCGGTGTTACTCATCATAGAACATATATAGTATCCACAATGTACACTCCTAGGCCTCTGCTTGGGGCACTGTGTGTTTTGCATATGAAAATATTAGGTAATGCTTTTGACAGCCATGTAACGGAGTACTGAAGAAGTAAGTTACACTTACCGCACATAGTGTTTTTATAGCCGACTTTTCCTTCCTCATTTGGATCATGCCTTCCGTGATGATGAGAGACATAGAACCTAAATGCCCTGTTCGAATTATTTTAGCAAATACACTTGTTAGTATGCATAAGTGAACGTTACAAGTATGTATACCAGACATATAAGCTAATGAGGATTGTCGATATGTATACGTCTTGAGAATCGATATGAAGTCTTTGTATGTCGCCGGGTCCTTATCTATTGAATCAAAGACCCATGCCATGCTCTTCCCGACATCGACGGCTATACAAATCCAGTGGTTGCTGCATGGATTTAATCATAGAACTAGATAAGCTCTTTTACATCGAATAAAATATATCGAACATAGCTTTAAGTTATAGTTGAACTTACTCGAAGTTGTATGGTAGCCATATAGTAGAGTGTTGTTGGAGATTTTTGAAAGCCAGAGCAATGTATGCCGCAACCTTAAGGGACTCTTCCCTTAGCTTCGCACTATGCATGCGCTCTTTCTCCCGAAGAGTCTTTGCAGCTGCTAGCTCTTTGGCATCCAGTGTCCACCGTTTAGGGTAATTAAAATTTGTTTGGGCTATAGCTTGAGGGTCTACATACCCGGCTTTCACACTTGGCATTTGTTTGACAATGTGCACTTGCATTCTACAAATCACGGCGTGGGTTAGTTACAACAAAATTCAAAGATTACATTCATATCATATCGGGAGGACAAGGACTTACAGGCACCACGTGCGAATTAGATTCATCTCCATTTCTCCCAGGTGAAAGCATGTGTGCATGTCATTGAAGTCAAAGACAATTTTCCTGGCTGGGCTTCCAAATGTGCCGGTGGGAAAGCATGCTTGTATGATATCTATGCTCGTTGGGAGAACACGCAAGTACCAATCATGGAACCTTCTCATTCCAAGTGGTAGGCGCTGGATGTCCCGGTTTGGTAGGAAGGGCTTGCCTCTTTCATATTTTTTTGGGCAATCCTTTGACCATTCGATGGCATCAACATTTGGATACTGCTTTGCAATTTGGTGAAGTTTGCTACTGACGGCCTCCTCAGAACCCCGTGATGGGACTTTTTTAACTTGGTTTTCAGGCTTGAACTGATCATGGGAATACCACTTGGACACCGACGAGACGTCTTTGATCGGAACATAAACTGGCCTTATGTGGATTGGAATCTTCTTTCGGAGTTCCCATTCAGGCACGTCCTCATCTTCTTGTGCATCACCTTCTTCAGGAGGCACTCGTTGTTCATGTATCGGTTGTGCTTGTTGAGAAGACTGTGGCATCTCATGATGCACTTGCCCGGTACGAGCTGGAGAAGGTTGTGGCATCTCATCAGGCACATGCTCGATAGGAGGCGGGGAAGAATGTGGCATCTCAGGAATGTGGGGGTCACGAGACGGTGAAAATATCTCCCCGGCCTCAACAACTCGCTCCAAATTTGGGAGAGGGGGAGGCGGCGAAGACATGCTCGGGGCATCGAGCTGCACGGTCTGTTGTTCGCGACATTATTTCGCGCTTTGTTCTAAAAGATGCAAGAAAGTGTGCTTTAGGTACGCGAGAAGGTATAAGAAATCAAAAAGGTCTATAAACCAAAGTAGTCCTATAAAACAATAATATAAAAAAACAAGAAGTAGCAGTGGTAGAGGCCTCAGAAACATGTCAATCATCATCTGATCTTGAACTTGGAGCATCAAGGCATCATAACAGAGAAGAGAGGAGAAGGTAATGTAGGGGCGGCTGCTAATGATGTCAAGTTCCTCACAAGTTCTTGACCATCAGCTCATATTCCATATAATGTATGGACTTGGACAATTTCATCATCGGCAAAACAAAGGAGAGGAGAGGAGAGGGGAGATTTGGCAAAAAAAAAGCAGGTGCTGCTTCCAAAACATAGAGGATAGGAAAGGTGGCAACAAATAAAGGAGAGGGGAGATTTGGCAAAAAAAGCAGGTGCTGCTTCCAAAACATAGAGGATAGAAAAGGTGGCAACAAATAAAGGAGTAGTAGTAGGAGTAGTAAGAGGAGGA